GGCAGCGGTCGGAGCGCGCAAGGCGAGTGGGACCCGGGGCTGGGTAGGGGTTCAAGTCCGGTTCGGGGATCGAGTGTGCACCGCCCCCCCACCTACTACCCTACCCCCCGCCTCCAACCCTGGGACACGACTTCGCTGGTCTCAACGAGCCGCTGCCTCCAACTCCACCTTCTATGCCCAAACTTTACAGACTTGGACTGTCTCTGTCCCCGCGTCCCTGCTCCCTCCCCGTCTATGACCCCATACCCTCATCGATTCCTCCCAGTACCCCCATCGATTCCTCGTGCCCTGCCCGTCTCCCCTGTCCTGGCTCCCCTCTGCCCCCTCTCCCCTATCTGTGTCCCCCTTTCTGCCTCTGCTCCCCGCCCGGCTCTGCCCCCTCCCCGCACTGTCCCCCCTCACCCTCCTCCGCGGCCATGCCCCAGGCGGCGGGAAGGCGGCCGGGCGTCCGGCCGGGCTGGGCCTGGGCTTGGCGGCTGGGCCGGCGTGGGGAGCGGCAGCTGTTTGCCATTAGCCGGGGATCCACAGGCCCCGCCCCCTCCCTGCACGGGGCGGGGTCCTTCTCGCCGCCCCCCAACCCCCCGAGTTTAGGGCGGAAAGACCCCCCGCGCCCCCGCCACCTCCAAGATGTGCAGGCCGGTCTTGGGTGGTGGGTTGGGGAGACCCGCGCCCCTTCCCTGAACTCCCTACCTGTCCCCTCTTGTAGGCTCCAGTCTCTCCATCTGTGTCTTATCCTGTCACCCCTTCCCCACTCCCCAGGGGTCCCATAGCGAGAGAAGGGTTTCAGCCACAGACATCCATCTCCCCCACCACACCCCCTCATCTCCTTTCTCTTCCCCTTACTCGGGAGTCGCTGGTCCTGATCGAGGGCGGTCAGATGACTGAGGACCCTCAGACCTCAGTCTTCATATCTGGGAAACGGGTAGAGATATCTGGTGTGGAGTCTGGGGGTGGTGACTTGGTGGGCATTGGCGGGATCCACCAGCCTTAGGTTCACGTTCAGGCCCAGCTACTTCCCCGTGGCCCCAAGGATCCTAGGCAAGCCACTGTACCTTTCTGTGCCCTCTGCATCCCCTGTCTGTGAAACGGGATAACTGCCCATCTCATGGAATTGTCACGACAATTAAAAGAGTTGATGTTAGGCTGGGTGCGGTAGCTCATGCCTGTAATCCCAGCACTTTGGGAGGCCGAGGTGGGTGGATCATCGGAGGTCAGGAGTTCAAGACCAGCCTGACCAACATGGAGAAACCCCATCTCTACCAAAAATACAAAATTAGCCAGATATGGTGGCACATGCCTGTAATCCCAGCTACTCAGGAGGCTGAGGCAGGAGAATTGCTTGAACCTGGGAGCCGGAGGTTGCGGTGAGCCAATATCATGCCATTGCACTCCAGCCTGGGCCACAAGAGCAAAACTCTGTCTCAGGAAGAAAAAAAAAAAAAGAGTTGGTGTTATTATTACTGTTACTATACTATTTGCCTGGCAGCACCCTCACTCCCCTGCCCTCCTCTCCCCCTGACTATTCCAATCCTGCTCTAATCCCGCTTGCTCCTTGTATCTCCATCTCTCTTTGGTGGCCAGAAAATATTTTCAATCAACTTCCTGTTGCTCAGGGGCGAGTCTCCAGGCAAATGGAAAACCAAATTTCCTGCAATTGGTGACCATGTGTTCCAGGTGTTGAAAGACAGAGAAGCGAAGACAGAAACGTGGAAAGACAGAGAGAAAGACACGGAGAGAGACGTAGAAGGACAGAGACGTGGAGAGAGACACAGAGAGACAGAGACGCGGAGAGAGACACAGAGAGACAGAGACGTGGAGAGACACAGAGAGACTTGGAGAGAGACAAAGCAAGACAGGACAGGAGAACAAGGACAAGCTCAGGTGCCCTGGAGCCCCAGCCCTGCCTTCATGCCCAGCAGGTGCCCTACCTGGCCCATCCTCCCAAGGTACCTGCTGCCCCCGCACTCAAAGGCCAGAAAGGATTCACTGATGGCGGGATGGGCCGGGGCCTCTGCAGCATGATGGCTGGAGGTCAGATAACAGAAAGGACCGGCCAAGTTCAGACGGGTTATACTGGGGACAAAAGAGCCCTGGCCAGCCTCCAGGGCTGAGGGGGGTTTAGTGAGAGGCTCTGATTGTCCCTCCCTTTTGCAGCCCCCAGGCGCCCCGTCTTACTTCCTCCCCTCCACCCCCAGGACTTCCTGGGCCTCCACCCGGCCCCCTATCCCTACTGCGCCCCTAAGCCCGGACGCATCCTAGGCAGGCAGGAAGTTCTGTGTAGCCCGGCAGTGAAACTGTTTATTTTTAGAGAAAATTGTTTCCATAAAGGGGAAAGGCTTCACTCCTAGCTGCCTCCCCAACTTTCCCTACCCCTTCCCCCCTACCTAGTCCAGGCCTGACCCAGCTGTCAGCTTTGGGGTCACTGGGGGTCCCCTTCGCCATGCTTTGCTTCTCTTTGTTCCCCTCCATCTCTGTCTCCTCAGATCCTTGCAGGAAGATGAGGTTCCCGTCTTCCCCAACCCCTTAGCGCCTCAACCCCCATCCTTCCCTGTGGCCAGCTCCAGGCCTGGGCTGAGGGGAGGGGATGCAGGAAGGGTGGGGCCTGTTGGGCTTGGGGCCCCCCAGCCCCAGAGCTATGTGGAGGCCGGGCTGTGGGAACAGCTGGAGCCTGTCCAGGGGCTGGACAGATGTTCATGCAGGCAGTGAGGTTTGGTTTCTTTGTTCCAGACCTGCGGTGCGGGGGGAGCCCTTCCGCAGCCAGGCCGGGTGTGCGTCTATGAGTGGGTCCCAGACCTGGGTGGGGGGTTGGGTGAGCCAGAAGTGGAGGGGACTGGCCCCATCTCCTTCCCTCCCCCTACAGACTCCTAACTCCCGGTGCCATGGTTCCCTTTCCCCAGGTAAGCCTCAGTCAGTGCTGCAGGCAGTCTGACTCGCAGTCCCTCAAGTGACTTCCAAGGAGCATCTGTAGACAAGAAGATGGCCCAGGTCCTGCACGTGCCTGCCCCCTTCCCAGGTCAGGGGACTCAGGGAAGAGGGCCCTGCCCTGGGGAGCTTCAGTTCTGGAGGCCTGAGGGGCCGGGGACTCTGCCCTGGGGACTTTGAGGGTGGGACGCAGCCCAACGATTAGAGGTCTGAGGGAGGAGGCAGAGTCCTGCCCCGGGTGTCTGATGGGGAGGCACAGCCCTGCGCTGGGAGGGTCTGAGAGCAGACGCGGTTGAGTACCAGGTGGGCTCCCATCTCTTGGGCAAATAAACCCCAACTCTCCCCAGGCATCAGTCTTCACCCTGAGTATGGGGACAAGAGGATTCAAAGGTCCTGGTGTTTCTCCCACCCCCAGGGACCCCTGGCCCGGCCTCCCCGCCTGCCTTCCCTGCCAAGGACCCCGACCCACCCTACTCTGTGGAGACCCCCTATGGCTATCGCCTGGACCTGGACTTCCTCAAGTACGTGGACGACATCGAGAAGGGCCACACGCTGCGACGCGTGGCGGTGCAGCGCCGCCCCCGCCTGAGCTCGCTGCCCCGTGGCCCTGGCTCCTGGTGGACGTCCACTGAGTCGCTGTGCTCCAATGCCAGTGGGGACAGCCGCCACTCAGCCTATTCCTACTGCGGCCGTGGCTTCTATCCTCAGTATGGTGCTCTGGAGACCCGCGGTGGCTTCAATCCGCGGGTGGAACGCACACTGCTGGACGCCCGTCGCCGTCTCGAGGACCAGGCGGCCACACCCGCCGGCCTGGGCTCCCTGACCCCCAGTGCGGCCGGCTCGACGGCCTCCCTGGTGGGTGTGGGGTTGCCACCCCCGACGCCACGGAGTTCGGGACTGTCCACGCCAGTGCCTCCCAGTGCCGGGCACCTGGCCCACGTGCGCGAGCAGATGGCGGGTGCCCTGCGGAAGCTACGGCAGCTGGAGGAGCAGGTGAAGCTGATCCCCGTGCTCCAGGTGAAGCTCTCAGTGCTCCAGGAGGAAAAGCGGCAGCTCACAGTGCAACTTAAGAGCCAGAAGTTCCTGGGCCACCCCACAGCGGGCCGGGGCCGCAGCGAGCTCTGCCTGGACCTCCCCGATCCCCCAGAGGACCCAGTGGCACTTGAGACCCGGAGTGTGGGCACCTGGGTCCGAGAACGGGACTTGGGCATGCCTGATGGGGAGGCTGCTCTCACTGCCAAGGTCGCTGTGCTGGAGACCCAGCTCAAGAAGGCACTGCAGGAGCTGCAGGCAGCTCAGGCCCGGCAGGCCGACCCCCAGCCCCAGGCCTGGCCACCGCCAGACAGCCCGGTTCGCGTGGATACCGTCCGGGTGGTAGAAGGGCCACGGGAGGTGGAGGTGGTGGCCAGCACAGCCGCTGGCACCCCTGCACAGCGGGCCCAGAGCCTGGAGCCTTATGGGGCAGGGCTGAGGGCCCTGGCAATGCCTGGTGGGCCTGAGAGCCCACCTGTGTTCCGCAGCCAGGAGGTGGTGGAGACGATGTGCCCAGTGCCTGCTGCGGCTACCAGCAACGTCCATATGGTGAAGAAGATTAGCATCACAGAGCGCAGCTGTGATGGAACGGCAGGTAAGCGGTCTCAGGCGGGGAGAATGGCTGGGGGTGGGGGGGCCCTCTTTCTTCCCATGGCTCATCCTGGACCCTCAGAATGCCAGGATCCAGGCGGGGTGCTGTGGCACATGCCTGTAATCCCAGCACTTTGGGAGGCCGAGGCAGGCCTCTTGAGGTCAGGAGTTCAAGACCAGCCTGGCCAACGTGGTGAAACCTCATCTCTACTAAAAATACAAATATTAGCCAGGTGTGGTGGCATGCACCTGAAACCTCAGCTACTCAGGAGGCTGAGGCAGGAGAATTGCTTGAACCAGGGAAGCAGTGGTTGCAGTGCCTGTAGACCGAGCTACTTGGGAGGCTAAGGCGGGAGGATTACTTGAGCCTAGGAGTCACGGCTGCAATGAGCCGTGATTGCACCACTGCACTCCGGCTTGGGCAACAGAGCGAGACTCTATGTCTTAATAACAACAACAACAAGATATTTGTGCACCTGGATCCAGCCATGCCTGAAGCTGTCATCAGTTACATAACAACACAATTCCTTTTCACTGCTTAAACTGGTCCAAGATTGATTCCTGCCACTTACTGAATAAACAGGGAGGATTTCTGCCTGGTAAACCAACAGCCTTGGGGAGCTTTCCCCCAAATACCTCCCGCTTTCTGGATACTGACAAAGTGGCAGTCACCTAATTTCTCTGCATGGTTGCTACAGCCCCGAGGTTGGCTGCACAATTCTTCCCCTTTTGTGGATGACAAGACAGAGACTCTCTAAGAGTTGGAGTGATGTGTCTGGTGGAAGAAAATTAACGAGTGCCGTGTTAATTTTTTTAAATTTTTTGTAGAGACAAAGCCTCATTATATTGCCCAGGCTGGTCTCAAACTTCTGGGCTCAAGTGATCCTCCTGTCTTGGCCTCCCAGAGTGCAGGGATTACAAGCATGAGCCACCATGCTGGCTTCAGTGCTCAGGTATCATCAGGAATCTAACTTGATGCCTTTCATTTTTTGTTTACCCTGGGAGCTTCTCTTTCAGGCAGGCGAGGGAAGGTGACCTCACTGCTCCAGGCATCTGTCTGTTCCGTTTAGTGCAGAGGGAGCTCCTTAGTCCAAAGAGCACCAGTAAAAATCCCAGAGGGGGCCCTCATTGGCTGGCCTGGGTCATGTGCCCATTGCTGAGCCAGTCACAGTGTGGTGTCCCTGTCTGCCTAGCCATGGACACTGGGGGTATGGGAGCCCCACCCAAGCCCTGTGGCCTTTGAGGGAGGAAGGGGGTGCTTCCCAGAGGAAGTACTGAGTCCTGATGCCAGGAAAGGGGATGCCGGCTGTGCAGAATGTCAGCTGCTGGGTTGTCCTGAGGTCCCTGGGAGAAGCCACCCAAATGATTCATAATAATGACAGCTGGGCCGGGCACGGTGGCTCATGCCTGTAATCCCACACTTTGGGAGGCCGAGGCAGGCGGATGGCTTGAGGCCAGGAGTTCAAGACCAGCCTGGCCAACACAGTAAAACCCTGTCTCTACTAAAAATAACAAAAATCAGCCAGGCGTGGTGGCACACACCTGTAGTCCCTGCTACTCCAGAGGCTGAGGCAGGAGAATCGCTTGAACCTGGGAGGCGGAGGTTGCAGTGAGCCAAGATCACACCACTGCACTCCAGCCTGGGCAACAGAGTGCAACTGTATCTCAAAATAATTAATAATAATAATGACAGCTGGCCAGGCACGGTGGCTCATGCCTGTAATCCCAGCACTTTGGGAGGCAGAGGCAGACAGATCACTTGAGGCCAGGAGTTCAAGACCACCCTGGCCAACGTGGTGAAACCCTGTCGCTACTACAAATACAAAAATTAGCCGGGCATGTTGGTGGGTGCCTGTAATCCCAGCTACTTCGGAGACTGAAGCACAAGAAATGCTTGAACCTGGGAGCCGGAGGTTGCAGTGAGCTGAGATCATGCCACTGCACTCCAG